TTAAATAATTAGAAATTTAATTAAACTAATTAAAATAAAAAGAGAATAGAATAACTAAGTAAAATCCATTCTGTTATCATATTTTGAAACACAAAATTATTAAAATAGAAAAATCTCTATAAATTTAGAAACATTGTAAAAGGTAGTACAGCAATTTAATTCCTAAAACTATATAAATATATTATTGTACAAGACTATATTTATTCTATCATTCTTGATTCAGATATAAAATTATGCCAAGGAAAAGATATTTTTGAAAGGATGAATTATCTCTATCAGGTAATTTTGGTCGTTAACTATTTTATACTTTTTTTATTGTAATTATTGAACAAAAATTGTTTCAGGCAAGTCACTTAATGGCATTAAAAAATCGAGTAGCAGCATCATGTTATGGTAATATGATGGTAGGATGTGCAAAAAAATCAGTATTGCGAATGTGAGTTTTATTAATTATATTATTCAAAATACTTTTGAATAAATAATTATTTTTGAAACATTACTGTAAATAACTAAAGTTCGATTAATGTTTTATGAATATTTCATTGTGTAATTGAGTAAAAGCTTGATAGGCTATGAGAAGACAGATTGGATATGTCAAAACCTATTCTTTTTTATAATACAGTGCATTACAAAATTTTTTTGCATAGTTACTTAATAAACAGATGAACATCAATGATGAAAATAATATTGAAATACTTTCTTATTTCTTTCAATTATTACAATATTTCTTTTATATTCTATAGAATAAATTTTTTCTATCATCTTTATTCAGTTTTGTTGGTAAATATAAGTTTCTTTCTAGAGAATCTGATATTAAGAAAACGATTTGTAAGTGCTGTCAGTCCCCACTTATACCCGGTGAAACAGCAAAAGTGCGATTAATGTCAAAACCTGTAAAAGGAGTAAAATGGACATGTCTAATTTGTTTAAGTGTAAAAAGATATCCTACCAAAAAGGGATATAAACTATGGACAGAACAAGAGAATTCGGTAGTTCAGATTTATAATTATGCACCAAAATTAAAAGACATTGATAGCGATTTTAACGCTAAGATAAAGGAAAGTGTTTCAGATGAAGATAAGTGTGTTTATACAGAAGAAACTAAGTAAATACACAGAATTGAATATTTATTTCCACATGATGTTAGATGTGATGTATGTTGACGTATGAATAATTCTTTCCAATGATTTACATAAAATATGTTACAATAAATTTATAATCAATAAACAGGTATTTTTACGAACTGGAATATTAATAACCATCTAATAATGTCATGATACTGATATTAGTTTTACATTAAATGCTCATAGACATAACATGATCATAGTTAAGTTATTATTTTCCATCGGGTACATGATATATTATGATGAGAACCGTTTGCAGTCAATTTCTTAGACCCCAATGCACATGTTTCGTTGAGGACGGTTTAGGTGATGAGAAATGAGGTGGCCCTTATAAAGAATGTGGAATGTTTATATTCACACATAACATGAAAACTGAGTGCAAACGATTCCATTTTAACTAGCTATGATATGACTATATCCGCCCATCGCTAATGTCTTGTACAAAACCCGAAATGCAAGTCAACAATCACATACATACGCGGGCGTAATCAAATCACAGTTTTATCGGATAAAAATCAGTTCTTTAATCCTAACTTAAATAAATATGTAACGAATAATATTGTAAACAACAATTACATGCGAACGTATGATATATGTTGATATTTCGATTCGAAATTTTCTTATTACGAGTATCGTTAAGGCAGAGATTGAAATATGTCTCAAGAAGAGTCTCCTTTAATTTTCGAATGTTTGTTGCAGCTGAATGAAATTAATTTTTAAGGATGTGGTTTAATCATAGAGTGAAGTTTAGGCTTTAAATTACCGATCCTTGAGAATTTGGTCTACAGAAGTAAGATGTTTTTCTGTCGTGGATCAATACATTTAAGTTACATTTATAGAAATTCTGTAATGGTAGTTTGAATCTTATTCAAATTTCATTTTTATGATTATCATCACTAATTTTCATTATTTTAATTCCTTAACTAACTTATAGTATTAACTCTTTTTAATAAATGCAATAATGATATATGATGATAATTATCAAAATCTAAATTTGAGTTTGATGTTTGTTACTCAAATATATGGATATTTGAATTCAACTTAAAAATTTAAATTCAAACATACTTGTTGATATTTAAATTTAAATTTAACTGCTGCAATCTGAATTTGAATTTACATGTAATTAAACATACTATATTACGTTGCAGCCTTTACTCTTTAGATTACTTTTAAGTACAATATTTTTTAACTGTATTTTCTTTTGTAATATTTTATACTTTTATTATTTTTATT